CATCGCCTCTGAATGCAGGCATTTGCAAGTTGTTCCGTTTCTAGGGATTGAAACTTAGGATGATTGATTAGCCTGTGCAAGTTATTGATCTAGATTTAGGATATATAACTGACATATCATCGTTTTACCTTGTCACATTTTTTCTTGGTTTTCAAGAATGTAAAGTAACTTTTTAAGCGTTTTTAAACGCTTTTCTGCGCTTTGTTTTTTCAGAAATGTTTTTAAACTAGATTTGACTTAAATGTTTCGAAGTTATTTTTCAATCAGGTTCTTCTGTGTTTATTACATGCATTGCATTGCCGTTTGTTAAGATTTTCGAATGCTCTTTCTTTACTTGCACTCATTCCTTACAAGAATGAAATACCGTTTGGTTGGCAGGCTCGATGCTTGTGTATAATTGTATTTTGTATTGCATCTTGCCTTGTAATGTATTTGCGTTTTTTAATGAATTGGAGTAGAATGTTGACATTTATTTGTTTTAATGATTCTTAACATCTTCATCACCTTAAATCATCCATTCTCCGTTGAAATCTAAACCACTTTAAATCGCTATTCACAATTTATTTTCTTTCTATTTTTGAATCGGTTAAGTTATCGTTAAATTTCCATACTTGTATATTTACTCTGACTGTGGTTTGTGTTTCGCTGGCTCTTGGCTATTTGTTTTGTAAGAAGATTCCATCGATTCTGTCCGCATGGTTTCGCACCGTCTGATACCTAATGGTAATTGGCCATGATTCGCTGATTTAAAAATATGTGCCACCCACTACTTATTGGCATCCACAGTGGAACCTAAAATTTTGATACCTTCGGCTCAAGGGTTCAAAATTTGTCTGTATCTGATCCTACGAATTTGTTATGCGCGTTGTTGTTTACTACTGATTATTACTGCTTTATTAACAAAATGAAACGACGTTTTCAGTCAAGGATTCAGTAGGACGTTTTAGAAAAAATTAATCGAAAAATCAGTAAAAATTGCAGTCGTTGAACACCACGTTAGTATGGTAACATTCAAGCTGTCTTTGTTTTCCAGGTTCAAGAGACTGTCTGAAATGTACGTTCGGAAGGGCGATGGTTTGATCCTGAAAGCATAGATCCATGTTTATTTCAAGCATTCCAGATCTTGACAGTTCAGGGAATTCGGAATTTCCTTCACGTTCTGAGATTTTGCATTTTCTGGATCTTCGATATGCCTTGCCTATGAGTCGTCAGATTCTGTTCAACAGAAGAATAGCGACAATTTTTCATGATTTTAAAAATTAATGCGAATGGTGGTTTCCATTTTTCTCTTCTGGTTTGAAATTGGAGTATCTCAATTCTACGTAGAACTGCCTTAAAAAAATGTTTTTTTCATCTGAGGCTCTCAGCACGTGTTGGTTTATAGTTTCGGGATTCATGATTGATGGTAGCTGTAGTAGTGACTTCGGCATATGAACTCTAATCCCGTAATTTCGATGTTATTTGTTTTCTTTATATGCTAAAAGTGGTTCCATGTAAAGCGTTGATGTACAGACTATTTGTCATATTTGAACGTACAGGCAAAACTTACTGACCGGTTCCTAGACGTTCCTTAGAAAAGAATTTGGAAACTAGAGGATTTTGAGCCTTATGCTTAACTTAATTTTAGTAAGCGTATAAGTAGTTCTGTATGGTACTTGCCCCTGGCTGTTTTGCATCTAATGAGCAGTTTTTGGATTATGCAACTATTTCAAATTAGAGTTAACTGTTTCCTAGTATATATGTGCGATGCACAAATTTAAGAAGTTTCTTGAAAGGCAACGGTAAGACCCATAAGACAAACTCGATCATTACTAATACTGCGCAGTTGCTTCTTGTCGGTCAGAAGTGCGAAGTGGCAAATGTTATTGTCCATTCAAGGGGGTAATAACAACATGCGAGTTCGAGCAGTTTTTTCTTAGGCTGTATTTACTTGGGGGATATATTAGTTTTTAACCACATGAAAAGCTTTAGAGTCGTGCGGACTTCAAACATTCTAGTGTTTCGATCATTATGCGCTCTTAACAGGATTGAACAATTCGATAAAAGCGTAATATTTTCTGAGAACCAAGGTAAGTGGTAGTTTTCTGTCTGTGCGTTTCGATTGTAACCGAGTACTTTCAAAATGGTACTTTCTGACACGTCAGGTGCCCTGTACGTTCCCGGTACCAAAAATGCAAATAGATCATTTGAAATTTCCGAGAGTTCTAAATGCCGAGAAATCTCCATATTTGACTCTGGTATGCAATTCCGTACCTTGGTCATTGGTCAGTCTTTCATCACTGTTGCGATACGTATACGTTGAATTTATTAATCCAATTGAAGTGTGCTGTGTTGGACGAAATCAAATGCGAAATATTGTGATAGTAAAACATTTGACCGACATTCATTACAGAATAATTACTTTTATCGAACCATTCTAGTGAAATCCCTGTCCGTTGTCCTCTTACCGCGAAATTTCGACGAACATTTAAAGGAGCCTATTCTCTCCGATCTCTGCATCATAGTGGTCGATCAGTTTGCTACAAAAATGATAACTTAAGGTTTAAATAAATTTAATGTGCTTTTTCAGTTTCTATGATTATCCGGTTGCCTTTTCCCGTCTTGAAGTTTTTGCATTTAAGATTTTAAACCATGCCAGGTGAATTGTGAGTTTCATAACTACATATGTCTAATAATATTTATGGTATGCAGGAAAGAAAATTTTTCCATTGGCCAGTGAACGGCATTAGACTTACCGATAGCAACTGGCTCCTAGAATATCTCTGAAGACAAAGTTGTCACGCACCCTCATATTTTTTTCGCACTGAGATAAGGAATGTTAAAATCAACAATGCACATAAAAGAGCAATAAACTTATAATTATCCATGTAGACGTTGATTTCTGTCCCACCATATGAAACTCTGTAAGCACGTCTATCTTAACATATCCAACCATAGAGTGTTTAGGCTGCATGAATGTAAAAGCACAACGTTTTATAGTTTGTCAGTTTATTCGGTGTCATACTTTCGTAGCCTTACCGGTTTCGTTATGTAAATTTTTTGACCTTGTTAGAGGATTTGAGTGCTCATCGTCACAACTTTCATTGAATTCATTATGTAAGATGTAGGAGACCATGGGATTTATTCCTGGTTTCGTCTCAAACTATGCACCAGTGGTCCTAGAACTCAGCATATTTAATGAAAGAAGTATAGTTCTTCGTATACAATTCGCCGCTAATCACGAAGTGTTAGAAAGCAAACCCTCAGCCAAATATTCGCGCCATTCGATATTGGTTTGCTTCCCCTTTAATTTGACACTAGCAACTTCAACATCTTTCTACAGTAATCCTTTGGCGAAGGTTATTGACCATCCGAAATTAGCGTTTTCTCCTGTCTCCTTCTGTTATAACCCTTTCTTGCTTTAATTAGGCATGGTCTTTCTCGGCTGTCTGTCTAGTGATGGAGATGATTTTTCTGGTCAGATTGGCAGCTTTGTCATTTTCGACGTTCCGTATTTTGCATATGTCACGCGTTCATCAAACAAAATTTTGGATCGACTCGTGATTTGGACATTTTTCATTCAGCTTTATCAGATAGAAACAGATTATTCCGTTTAAAACAGCAGTTACGCTTTAATTATGGATCTCTTTGTTAAAAGAGGGAATATTTACTTAGAGTAAATTTATATAGTTCACATGGAGGTCCCATATATCCTTCAAAAAGCAAAAAGGTTAAACACACCATGAATTTTTCGAGTAAACGCCTCCCGTTATAAAAGTGTAAGGGCTATCGACATTCTGAAGTTCTTAATCCTACGAGGTAGGCTTATGACGTTAC